CTGCCGCTGCAGGGCGCCCGCGGACTCCCGTTGAGAGCCGCGGGGACGGCGTGCCCCGGTGTGCGGCACAGGGTGGAGCTGGGCATTAACAGGGGGCGGCGCGGGAGACAGAAAGGGTCGAGAGTTCGGGTTTGTTTTGGGATTTATTTTTTTTTTGCAGTTCCCTTATTAGGGAATAAAGCCCTGATTTTGCAAAAATACCCCCGTTCCTCCTCTTGGTGTTCAGTAGCTTTCCGTGGGGTGTTTCTGTGGAGGCTGACTGCCACTGAGGGTGGCTGTAAACCCCCCTTGCAAGTTATCTTTTCCACTTTAAATTTAATTTCACCTATTTCAAAACACCCCACACCTCCTGCAGCTGCAGAGCTGTACCCGGCGGTAGGCATGTGCTTCAGTCGTAGCTCAATGAGCTTCAGCTGATCATTATAGCTTATCTGTACAAATTCAAGGACAAAGTTTTCTCTTAAGTGGTGGAGAAGGGAGTTATCTTTCATGGAGTAGGAATTTATAGTTATCTAAGAATTTCTTCTTTGCGCTGCTTCTTCCTTTGAAACTGGTTTGCTGGCTTTGATAGGAATTTAAAGGAGGTGCTTGAGGGTATTGCTCAGAAGGATCAAACTATTTTGCACTATAGATATAGCAGAAAACTTGTAACAGTTTTGTATTCCCAAGGATAAATAATTTATTAGCGTGTGAACAGCTCGGTATCTCCTTAGCAATTGAACGTCAATTTTGTCATTATGCTACTTTGTTCTGAATTTTGAAATCACAGAAGTTTGGTAGTTTGTCATGGCAAAATCAATGCTATTATATTAAATAGAACTGGTTTGACCCCATTAAAAAGTTTGTTAGCAGTGCTTAGTTACAGAGTTGACAGCAACCTGTTCCTCTTAGCGACCTGAAGTCAAACAGTTTGTGAATGTTACTTTTGTGACTCAGAATCACATTAGAAATTACGTATTTATAAAATACAGGTTACAAATGATAAGTCAAACTACAGCACTAGTCAGTTTGAATTATCTGTATACTAACACAAATATATCTAAAATATTTACCTTTCATTGACTGTAGCATCGTAGGCAAATTGCAAGAGCGTTGGCATTGCTTGGTTGTTTGTTTTTTAAAACTCTCATTTAATCTATTTTCTTATAGAAGTTATTTAATTCTATTCAGCACTGATAAAGCCAGTAGAACAATGAGTGGTTTGCAAAAACGCCTGCTAAGCACTTAATTTTGTCACATTTTTCTCCTAAATTTTGTCTTGGCAATTAACCTTATTATTTTGAGATTAAACATAGCAGCACCTTCTTGTTACTCATTTTGGAAAAGCTGTGAGACAAAGTGTCAGGGGAGATCCAAGTTCCTTAATTTAGTCATGTAGCCAAAGGATGAAGTAAAACAAAAGACATGTTAAGTAATATTTACAGTAGGTGATGTGTCTCTGTAATTGCCTTGAGTTGACTGCTGGTTTTCCTCATATTAAATGCATTCATTGTATTTGGATGCAAAGTCACCTCATCATAAGAGAGGAAAATGAAAGATGAAAATGCTTTAACTGCAGCTTGTAGTAGTAGAGGGTAAGACTAACATCTTGATTGTCATGAAACTTTCATTTGAGCCTGTTAATCAAGCTTGAAATTGACTTCTTCAGTAGACGAACAACACCAGAGAGTGATTTTTATCTTTCAGTAATACCTTTCAACGATTACTGCAAAGGGAGGAGGGTAGAGCTAAGCAGTACCCTTCTGAAAGGAATTTAGAAAATCTCCTTGGTAATTTATTTGAGCTGTTTGGAACACTTGGTGCACTGTTCCAGAAATACTAATGCGTAAAACCTCCACAGTCATATAACAACAACAGAAAAATAACTTCAGAGTTGCATGAACAAGCTTCAGGGAATGAGTTGGGCATAGTTACAGG